CGTTCCTCGTTCTTCACACCTCGGTTCTCCTACTGTTTTGAGCGCTGCTTCATGAAGCGGTGTGATGTGTTTGTGTCTGCGTATGTTCAATCGCCAATAAATGTGTTCCAATTTTTATGACAGTTGTCGCCGTATAGGGGTCCACGAGCCCCTAAACATACCTTGATTTGTTTGCTCGTGTTATTTATTTGATTCTTCATTTTGCGGCGGCGAGGTACTTTTAGGGCGCTCATGTCGTTGGGGGGGGGGGGGGGATATTGAAGTGAGTGAGCCACTTACAGAACTTGGGACTAAACTTAGGGAGGGGAGGGGATTCTGGGGGAGGACGTGAGCAACCTTTGTTCTGCCGTCGTTTCTCCCTTCTCTTGGGCTTAGTCCCAGTGTCACCTACCAGCGGTTTTTGAATGTCTCTCCCCTCCCCCTTTCAGGAAATGAGCACCTTACTTTTCTAAGTTCTTGTGGCCCCGTCCTCCATTTTCCTGTTTCTTAGAATTTTTAAAATGCCGAACTGATTGATAGGGCAGCTCCGACGTTTTTGAAAACCCTCTGCTAGGGGGGAGGGGGCTCAAAAGGCAGAAGGATCACTCAAAATACACTGCGCTGAGTTCCGTCACCCGAGCTAGCAGTGTGCTGATCAGTGGGGCAGATTCTGATATTTCGGCTCCCATTTTTTGGAATACGCTCGTGCTGTGTACCTTAAAATCGTGGCATTTCTGTGCTTTTAATTATTATCCTTAGCAAACTTGAATACTTTTGTTCCGATTTCTTCTGCATCTCCGATAACTAATCATACCTTCAGAGGTTAACATTCATTGAGACTGGATGCGACTGCATGAAATCCCATCAATGATACCCACTGTTCTTCTGCTGGCCCTCTTCAAATATGCAGCTTCCAGGGAAAGTTCTGGTGAGTTCCTTTTACCTTTCAGATAAGGGAACAGTGCATCGCGTTGATCAATCTCTTTTTGTCTTTACCTGCTTTGCAGAGTTTTTGCTTAAAACCAACATGCAGCGTTTTCTGGAAGGAATAGAGTACAGTACTGAGGACTTAATTAACGTCAACCCCTTCTTCTTTTGTGTTTTTCAATCATTATAAAGAATTTCAGTAAGCTTGCTGCTCAACAATGATTCCGTCGCTAATCCTATGTCTTCTCGGGCGACTGTGATGGAAAGCATCCCTCTCATACGGCTCATCAGAGATCTTCTCACGAGGGAGAGGTGAGTGGCAAGGAGCATAAATGGAGAAAAAAGTGGCAACATGAACACTACAGGATTTAGAGGCGGATTTTACGATGTAAAGGCAGCTCACCAAAAATTAGGTCAGAGATGGTCCGTTAGGTAATGATGGAAAAAGCCATGAGAAACGGCCCAGACCCTGAACAGGACCCCTTCCTTGCCCGTTGATTTCCGTATTAGTGCGACTCTCATCAGTGCTGCCCGCTTCAACGCTAAGATCTCTCTCGTATGCCAAGCGGGCCAGGAGGCGCAGACAGGCGAGACAGCGGGCGGTACACGCGCTGATAGCTGCAGCGCGATGACCCAATGATATATGCATAGGGCATTCCTTTGGCTAGCGAATCGCCTGTGTTGGTCCGCACCCTTTTTGGTTCCACCTGTCCTTTTCTAGGTAAGTTTCCCACTCTTCGACCTTTCGATCTTAGGAGGTCCTCTTAAGGCTGGATCCTCTTAAGCTTATATTTCAACCAAGCCTCAGAGTAGATAAATTGTAATAGTCACATATCCATTGGGCCGTGAAAAACACTTAGTGCAATGGGGATCTTTTGAAAACATGCATTGTTTGAAGAAGAATTCCGGAGCCTTGCGCGTAGTTGCTGCCATACCTACTTCAGCAAATCGTTGAAAGCAAAAGAAAAAGCTTTTCGGCCCTCACATTGTCCTGTCTCATCGCTTTGGTTGCTCGTGTCCATTATTTGCCCCAGTTGGGGCAGGGCTTGTGAGGTAGCCAGAGCTCATATGATTTTTGTGGCCTTCAAGAGTCTCCATGCATAGCCTGACTTGTCAATGTTATTGTTGTATTTTTCCCTCTGATAAGCGACATTAATTTTTCAAATAAGAAAGTTAGTATCAAGGAAAGTGTCGCGGTGAAATGTTGTTAGTTAGTAGAGGTATTATTAGCGGAGATTTTGTGAAGAACTCGTGGTCCGGTTGCTAATGTTATTGTTACGTTTCCACCGTAAGGCAGGAGTTTGCAGCCTACTCTGTGATAAAATATGATATCATGTGATATGATTTTCTTGACAATATATAATGCAATTATAATAAAACCTGTTTTCATTACTACTGTCTCAAGTATGACGATTTCAGGTATGATGTGCGTGTGCGACCTATTCTGGATCACACAAAACCGCTAAAGGTTCACATCAGCATCTCTCTGTACCAAAATCATCGAAGTGGTAAGTTGAGTTCAAAAAAGGACAGAAGTTTGATAAAACTTTGAACCAACACACACGGCGGAAGTGGTTCAGGCAAGAGCCGATGCTTTACAGCGGCTCACGAGTTCGGAGTCAAATCCGGAGTTGTGCGCCGCTCATCAATCTTAAGGTGACTCTTGTTGGCTCACTGATGTCTGGAACTTTGGTCTTATCAGTTCTCTAACCCACCAGCAACTTATGGACAAGGACCGTTAAGCCAAGGCCCATACAAAAATCGCCGCACCATTGCCGCGCGCGACGCTGCCCGCCGCGTGAGCGGCGTGACCTCATTTGCCCACGATTGAATTGACCGTGCTCACCTGCTCATCAGAGAGTCAACCGTGCGTTGCGCAGTTCTCGCAACGGCACGTTGAGAGATCCTCAACGCACGCGGAGACACAGACGGCTCGAGCATGCGAGTGTGAATGTTCGCGCGAGAGAACGTGTCTAATCGGGCGAAACTGCGCAACGTGGCCGTTGAGAACTGCGCAACGCACGGTTGACTCTGCCTGTCATGGTAACCAGACCTTCCTCTCTTTTGGGTCAGTTGATCGGTATCAGAATTTTCTGGTGCCAACACTGACTTGGCCCCCTCCCCTCCTGAGGTGAATCAGTCTACCTTTTCAGTAGCTTTATTTATCATACTCTAAGGCGCGCACTCAGCGTTAACCAATACCCCTATGGATACGCCACTCACTATACTTCCCTTCAGAACCATAGCGGTATACTGAATGTATCTGGGCTATCTAACTTGTTAGGAGGTGGGGAATTCTGAGAGGAAGTAGAAGGAGGGGTATTTTAACGCCAGTGTGCGCCTTGTAATATGATAAATAGAACCATTGGAAAGTGGAATAATTCACTCCAGGCACTTCTGAATCGTCGTCACCTCTGAACTGCAAGTACAATAATGCGTCTTCTATCCCTACTTAGCGAGGGCTCTGAGAAACTCATTTCGAGGTTCATCATGTTCATAGTGTGCGCCACACATTTGACACTCATTCTGTACTCGATGCTTTTGCATGCTTATCTCACCTATTAGCTGAGGGGTCAGCCTGAGCGCATTGAATAATTCCTTTAGAATAAGAATTTTACCATATATCTGATCCTGTTGTTCAGAATGGAGTTTGGACCATGGGCCAGGTTCAGTGATAGTGCCGCTGTTTGCCTTGACATTGATTCTGTACTTATTTTAGGAGTAAATGATGGAGTCAGTTATAATTCTTAGTGCATGTTCTCTAGGACGAACCGGCACAGAACATCAAGCTGAACGTATGGATGATACAAAAGTGGAAGGATGAGTATTTAACGTGGGATCCACGGGAATACGGTATGATCAATTCAACGATCATTCCATACAAATATCTTTGGATCCCCGACACATACCTTTACAACAGGTACTCGCCTTTTGCCTTTCATTGCTCGTTATACTACAGTGCGTTGCAAAATCATAGGACACCCCCCAAAAATATGAATATCTCGGCTTCTAGAAAAAGCCGTCTATCGCAACTGGTAGAATCAGAACCGCCTCTATAAAAAACCTATACAAACAAGTAGCCAGATCATCCGAATAGTTTTCCGTATTTTTAGACAATTTTTTTTAGTTTTGTAGTCGTTGCAAAATCATAGGACACCCCTCGGAAGTCTCCTTACAGTTGAATTTTTTTATCCATCCAGCAACGATGGTAGCACTTGTCCGGTGTATGGTAATTCTATTAGAGTTACGGTTTGAGTTGCTCCCTTTCCCTCCGCGAGTGAAAGCCAGACTTTCTTTTTATACGCGCCTGATGGCTCTACCATGAGCATCGAAGAGGCCACTCAACAACAAATACATGAAAAAAAAATGCATTATGTGCTAATAGTTTTGCTATGCTTCATTTTTTACTTGAAAATATTGCGTGATTTTCGATAATAACGACGAATTTAAGGCACAAAATCAACAATCCCAACATTGTAAATGAACCTTTCAACTTCGGTACCCACGCTAAGCGTGAGAGGGTGGAGGGGGGGGGCTGATAGAAGTCTGTCTGATGCTCGAACTGTTATGGATCCGCTTCCTTCGTATGTAGTGGTTTCCCAAGTGTTTCTGAAAGCGTTTCTGATGAGATGCAGCTTCGAACCAAGGCCGCCAGGCCCCACCTCAGTCGTGAGATCACCTGTGGATGACATTGGACAGTTTTTCTTTGTCAGCTGTAGGTATCAAGGGGTAGTGTGTATCAGAAGAATCGCCCGGATCCCTGCGCAACTGGTCATGGTGGCGACTTCGCAACCAGTGGACGAGTTCCTGCATGCGTCATTCGAATTTGAATGTTAAAGGAACGTCAAATCAGCTCGTCCTATTTATAGTCCAGCTTCAACCATCCGATGCGCGAATATTTGTCCGGTTTCCCTCGAACCCTTTTTCATTCCGCGTTTCAACATTGATCGTGAACTTCTAAAGCAAACTTTTTCATGCCGTTTTCATGAAAAATTCAAAGAAAGTAAGCTCAAATTCAATATCTGCGTCCTATAAAGGTAGGTGTGGACTGCAAGAAACTCACCGCTCCAGTCGTTAAATTCAAAAATCCCAAGCGCATGTCGAGATTTGTCGCGTGCGACGGTCCGCCTCAAATGCCGGCGCGGTGGGGCGACAACCGACGATTCTGTTGATCTCACTTCCTTCTGTATATAGAATACAATTTTTTTGGAAGAATTTTAACACAAAGAATGAAGTTTCAAAAAGTTTCTTATTGGTGACCATATCGTGTGTATTTGCCAACCTACTGTAAAGCAGTGTTTTCAGTGTGAAGATGAGTCGTGACGAGACCGAGCGCTACATGAATATCCAGGTCGAATCGCAGTATTGGAAGGGAGAAAATGGTTCACAATTGTCATTCCTCTATCCGGCTATATACACAATTACGTGTCGCCTTAATATCAGGTTTATTTATTGCTAACTTTTCACAATTCCTTTTTCTTCCCCGTACTGACATCTCTCTGAGGTGCAGTACATGCAAAATTAGGACCGGGTCAAATACGAGGTGTCAAACACGAACAGCTAACTTTTCCCTTTATGTTATCTATGGAGAAGTTCAGCGCTTCAAGGGAAAATGAAAATCAATTATGCCCTCATACTTTCTAATTTCTTCTGCTATAAAGACAATAAGGAATGAACCTGGAAAGTAGCATAGCATGGTCAGAGAAGTAGGAACGCGCCACGCCTTCACATTCTCCTCGAAATACGGAATTACCTGCAAAGGTGACGTGAGTGAAAAATGAATAACTGGAGCCAGATCAGCTTTGATATTTTCCTCTCTCAGACCAGAGTACTGAACCAGGTGATCTTCCGAAAAGAAGGGAGGCCTATTGGCTTGGATGGGATCTGGTGATCCAAGGGTGACGCGGTCCTCAGCGTTAAATCTTTACCCACGGCTCCCGAATCAGTGAGCAATCTTGAGGAAGGCGCCTACCTGGCCTAGCCCTAAATCGTTCGCATGGCAAGCGAGCGATTACCCATATGGCTTCATTTTCATGAGAAACTTCCTTAAAATTTAGATTCTTCCCCTACGATCGTCAAAACTGCACGTTGACAATATCTAGCTGGACAAACTCGATGTCAGCTTTGGATTACTATGCCGATGCTGAAGTCAATTTGGCGTCTTTCATACCAAATGAAGAATGGGATGTGAAATCGTTTAAGATCTTCCGACATGAGGTAAATCAACGAATGTGTCGCACTGTTTTGCCACTATCAGAAACATCATCGCTTAATCCTACATATTTCATTATGTAATTCACTAATTATGTCTGTTCGTGTAAATGTTCCTATTTTTTTCATTTTGAAGGAAGGACTCACTACAACAGAATCATCAAAGCTAGTTGGGGACAGGCGGACCTCCTGAGGGTGCTGACCGACGCGCAATTGGCAGCGAAAGATTTGACCTCGGCGATCTAGCATGGCTCACTCTTGGCGCGGTTGGCGGGTACGCCCACCGACTATCTAATCACTCGCCGCAGGTCTATACGTGGCGAGTGATTAGATAGCAGAGAGAGCGTAGTGTTGAAGAGGGCACAGCGATGAGAGTCGCATCAATGCGCAAATCAACGGGCAAAGGGGTCCCATTTCTCGGGTTTCGGGCCGTTTCAAATGGTTTCTTCTTCATCCCTGCTCCACTGACCACCTCTACCCTAATTTCCAATGAGCTAACTTTTCATCGTAAATTCTGCCTTTGAAGGATAGTTGTTAAAGGCACAACCCAGGCAGAGTTCGTGTGAACGCTTCTCTTCGGTCTCTAGTATAGAACCCTAGAGGACAATCACAGATGTGGCGTTCTCGTGCACGGAAACCGACCGATAAGAGCGCTTAGGCCTTACGAAGTAAGCTGCAGACTTTTTTTCCTTATCAG